TCCAAAAGAAGAGGGGTCCCATGAAAACTTTTGTAAGCTGAGATGATGTGAAGGGAGGAAGCAATCACCATGGACTCACATGGAAAAGTCTTTGAGTGTTCCCAGACCCGAAAAATAACCTACCAAACATACCAGGTATGCTGAATTGTATCCAGTTTTATGCTAAGGGTTAACACCTCTCTCTTTCATCTCTCTTAGGCTTTCTCATACTTTAGGGCCACATCTTGCTAAGAGATGCACAAAATAAATGGAGGGAAAGTCCAGATGCTCACAGACACAGACACTGAGTGTGGTTCCCTGGGAGGGAGCTTGGTGGGGTGACTCTCGCTGCTCGGGGTGCACGCCGCCTCTGTGACAGCCGGTCACTAAACAGAGCCTGAACGTTTTACCAAGTACTAAAGCCGGTGTGTCTTCATTTTAATTCAGTACTAAAGCCGGTGTGTCTTCATTTCAATCATTGAGTGGCTAGTGTTTCTCAGCATGCCACCTGTGATAGTTATTGTTACTGTGGGGATGCACCAGTGCGGCCCAGTGGTCCTCTGGATATGGTCCCTGAACCATTCGCATCAGCCTCACTTGGGGAAATTATTAGACATGAAAATTTCAAGCTATACCCCAAACCTCCTGAATCAGAAACTCTGGGGGTGGGTCCCAGAAATTCGTGTCTGAACAGGTCTCTCGAGTGTTCTGAGAACCCCTGATGTGGAACGGTGGCTCCGAACTCTGGCTACCCTTAGAACTGCCTGGGGTGCTCTTTCCAAGTAGCAAAAGTTGGGTCTCACCACCAATCCATTGAATCACAGAATCACAGAAAGGTGGCTTTGCTGTGCAAAAGGCAGGACTGGGGGCCCTCGTCCAGGAAGGAGAGGAAGTCATAACTGAGGATTGGCTGGCAGGGTCTTATTTTGGTGAGACCCTGCTTCCCTACTTTGGGAGGAGTCTCCTAAGAATCATAAAAAGGTGGCTCTGGGGTTGAGGCCCAAGCAGTGGGAGTTTTTAAAACTCCCCGATCACTTTCTGTTGAGCAGCGAGGTTGAGAACCATGGACCTAAACATTGGCATTCCCTATAGTCATGGTACAGGCGTGGAGGTAAGCAGCTCTCATGCAAAGCAAACTGACTGCCTTTTCGAATAGAGGCACTAAAGAAAGTGCTGTGGATACATAAGGAGTAACATGCAAACACTGCCAGATGCTCTAACAGATTACTGTCCAAGCATTGGTTTGGCCATAGCACTTCTTTCTTGCTCCATACGAGCCCAGTGCAGACCTGCAGGTCTCAGCTGCATGCAGCCACTCCAGAGGACCAAGCTCTGTCCACTTTGTGGCTTCATCCATGCTCCCCTAGGTCCTTAGAGTCTTCCCCACTCAGCTGGTGGATGAGGAGACACAGTTCGGATCTCAGGTCCCGTGGCCCTGCCCAACTGCAGGGGAAGGTATGAACCCACAAAGAGAAACTGAGCCCCCCCTGATCCATTAGATGTGATTTTTTCCAAGTGACTGTCAACAAACATTGGAACGAACGAACCCCAAGTTTGTTGGATACATATGGACTTTGCATTCTCATCAATAACGTAGAGACTCGCCATGCTGATCAAAAGGAAGGTAAATGAAGTAGTTAAATAGTTGGCTATGCTATTCGATCACTTGGATATAGAAAAAGCGTGAATATTTTGGGGGCAGAGTGAAAACAGCAAATTTGGAGGAGAAAGTCACCATAGAGGAAAGAGGAGGAGGAGGAGACTGAGAACCTTCCAGAACTCATAGAGAGAGTAATTTTACTTCCTAAATATAACCGAGATGCTTCAGACAGAAAAAGCACCTGACAAGGAGGCCTGCGAATGCTTCCCCGTACACACTGATGTCTTCTCCACCAAGCCCACCATGTGTTGTGAGATGTGCCCCTTCTTGGCACCAGAACCTGCCTTCTGGGTCATGTAGCGGCAAGAGCAGGGCCACCAGGATGGGCTGTGGGGTTTAGGAAAAGGCAGCGGTTCTGGGAGAGGCCGGCAGTTACTTACAGAGCTCATGCGTGTGGCTTTGCGTATTTCAGGAAACCCAATTTTAGAAGCTGGCTGTTTCGAAGATATGTCCATGGAGGTTTCAAATTGGCCAGAGATGATGGTTCCTGGGTGGAAGGTGGGCTGCTGAATCTAGAACCAGAACTCAAAGGGTTCTTTTATCATTGGTCCCAGAAAAGTACAGAATGTGGGATGTTTGCCAGAAACTGTCAGCTCTGGGGATGCACTGGCGATCAACACAGAAGTGCAGGGCCTGCCTTGCCTGAAATGGTCTTGTGGGGACTGCACACGAGTCACCAGCCCTAACAAGGCAGTGCGATGAGTCCTCTGGGGGGTCTTAGAAGGCATCCAAGGCGGCACTGAGTTAGTTCTTGGAGGAAAGGGTGTATTGGTTATAATTGTGCTTGTCTACCCCTACCCTAACCTCTCCCTGGGGCAGAGGCAGGGGGTCGTGGGGAGAAACAGTGGCTTTCACAATTAGGAAATGTTGTATTTCCAGAAGTAAGCAGTTCAGTGTTATAGGACAGCTCAAAGGCCTCGTCTCAGTCATTCTTAGCATGTGGGTCTTGTCCTCATGGTTGCAAAATGGCTCCTAAACCTCCAGGCACCAATTCTATCTCCCAGGCAGACACACGAGGAAAAGCAGATGGCGAAAGGCCAGATGCACCTGCGGGAGGTTTTCCAGCATCTTGTTCCAATGCCGCCTTATCTTTTTGGCCACGACCGTGTCCCATGGGTACGCTAGATGCCTGGATGGTGAGAAATGTAGCTCTTGGCTCTAAACTTTGCCAGCGCAGACGAAACTGGACTTCTCTTCCTCGGGAAGAAGGCCAAGTGGCAACAGGGGAGGCAGTTACAACAGTTGGTCCCAGCGGTCAGGGCAGACGGAGGAAGTGAGAGCGGCACTCCCGACATTGCACTATTGCCCCAGTGGTTCCTTTCATAGCTCGTGACCGAGTCCCACTCCAATCACAAGGCTGGAGCAGGTAAGAGGGACAGGCCAAAGCCTGAAGTCGCTGCCCGCCTCCTGCCTTTTGAGGCAGAGCCCCCAGCACGCGAGGTGTGCTCTGTGTTGAAAGGCAATGGTGAGCTCCACTGATTCCCTGCCCCTCCCCGACCTCACATGTAGTGTAGACATCGGAAAGCACCAGCGTTCCCAGTGAAAGCAGTTTCATGCTTTTCTCCCACAGCATGTTAATTCCTCTGAGCACACGGCAAAGGGAAGCAAGCCTGCGGTCTCCTTATGTGCACCAGGACCCAGGAGCCCGGAGAGGGTTGAAACTCGCCCAAGGCCATACTGCTGGTCAAGGGCAAAGCCTAGACGAGGACCCAGGGCTTCTGCTTCCCAGGCCCATGCTCCCTCCTCTCCAGGGCCATGTCCTGCCCGGAGTGGATACCTCAGAGCTGCGTGTTGAGCAGGACAGAGCGGAGGGAGGAATGGAAAAGGGCACGTGCTGGGGTCTCAGGCATTGGAGCAGCCAGACTTGCCATCCACCAGGTCGGATCAG